ATGCCCTCGTCTGATAGCCCGTTACAAAATAAATTCCCTCCTACAAGCCCAGAGTTACCAAACCAGCCAGTGTGGCTGCTCACAGCCATCTGATTTCGGAAAACACCTGTGCCCAGGGTAAACAAAGCAACATGCAAGGCTGTGTGTCAGTCCCTCTGTGTCAGTCGCAGAAACGCCATCCTAATGGCACTGTCTGTCCTGCTCCTACAAGCTGAATTACGACTCTCCAAATGTCACGCATGCTAGTTGCTTTTGTTAGGATCATTCTAAAGTGACTAAGGTCAAAAAGATAACTAAAATGAATCGTACTCAAGTTTGACTGCTTCTGTCTCCCCAAGGGAGGACAGAGACATAGAAACCCACAGAGGGATGATTGTATGAAGACAAAGGGAAAAGACACATCTATAAGGCAAGGAGACAGACACTGGCCATAGCCTGACCTTTCAAGCTCCCGGAAAGGTTTGGAAAAGGATTTGCTGGCATCCCTGACTTCAACAGATCCAGCAAGCTACCACCCTCCTGTCTCACTCTGAATCATGTGACGTTCTGCAGAGTTAAGCCCAGCAGACATCTGGCAAAAGGAATATGGAATCCTGGGGGGGCCAGGAAGCTGTGTGATAGAGGAGCCAGCCTGGAGCAGGAATGAGTTTGACGCATGTTCAAACCCCAAAAATCTTGTCTTGAGACTGGCAGGACTAGGACTGTTCCCTCCCTGCCCTGGGCCTAGTGCACACATCCTTATGGGCCCCACCTCTGTCACCCTTGAGGTGGTCATTTGCCTGGCAGACAGTACAGGTTAAACTTCCTCTCTCCTTAGAAGATCATGTCCAACAAGCACCTGGAATTCCTCTTCTTGTAAATAAGGCATTCCCTGGCCAATGATGTACACTCACCCCAAAGGCCTCCACCCGCTCCCCAAAGGTTTCAATAGCCTTTGTCCCCCCCCCCCAATTAAAGGAGTGGTCTCACTGAAGCTGTCTCCTAAGAAACGTTTCCTGTGTACTCATCACCACTTGAGGTCTCCATCCCCGGGAGGTTCCTGCCTTCTTCCCACTCCCAGGATCCATGATTGTGATCATGAACAGTCACTCCATTATGGGTACAAGTGGCAGAATCCCCTACAATTATCTTCTTGTCTAGAAAACTGATGGTAGGTCATATTCCCATAATTTTTTTTCTTTTTTCTTTTGTCTCATGATCTAGTATTTTCCAGTCTGAGTCAATAACAAGCCAGTAATTCAAGTTTCAGTTCTTCAAGAAGCCTATAGGGAGATTACTCAGTGCTTAAAGCATTTGATACACAGGCATTAATAATAGAGTTAGGATCCTCAGAACTCATGGAAATGCCAGGCAGCCATGTGTCTCCCCTGTAATTCTTACCCTGCAAGATGAAGACAAGGAATTCCCTGAACCAACTATCTAAACTAACTGAACTGGTGAGCCCGGATTCAGTTCAAAGACGCTGCCACAAAGAATAAAGTGGAGAAGGCAGTAAAAAGTCTCCTGACATCAATCTTGGACCTCGACATAAATGCATTCACATATGTTACCCACACAAATGTGGTTCTGCACGCACACAAGTGTGTGCACACGCACACCCTACTTGGAAGAAACAAAAAGCTTAGTGGAAATCCCAAGGTAAGACATTTTTTAAAGAATATAACTGAATTTTTATAAGATGTGATTTTATTTTACATTTTGATACCATTATATAAGATGAACGTACCATAATTTAAACAATTTTCATAATTTTAAAAATTTTAAATTTTCTTTTCCTTAGAGATTATAAGTTTCTCAAAACTGAAAACAATGATTCCTAGATGTTTTCATGCCTACACTAAAAAACCAAATCAAACAGTTAAGTGATTTTTGTTTAAATGCTTTCAGGGAGGGAAGAGTGATTTATTTTTACTACGTTGAAATCATTGGCACTGCCCACCAGTCGTTTCTGAGCTGTGGGGTATCTTATCGCAGCCTTACCTGTTCCTGTTGAGACCAGAAGGCCAGCATCACTTGCTTTAACCAGAGATCATCTCTGGTGGTGAAGATCATCTCTCCAACCCCTCCACCCTCCTCCTCCTTCTAGCATGAGCATCAGCACGTAATGGTGGTTAATTCATGTTTGAGTTCTGAGCCCAGTGACCACACTGCTGACTTGACAGGAGCAGCGAGGATCCTGGCACTGATGTTTGAGGCTGTTGGACGTGCTGGACATCTGTGGACTACTTGCCTATACCGACTCCACCAGATTTTTGCATCCATGGGATTTGAGCTATGGTGTGCCTAGGGAAAGAGAGGCACAGCTAAAAGAACCACAAATGTCTGTCACAGAAGAGTGGGCAGGGAAGGAGTAACAAAAGCATAAAAAGTGCAAATTGAAGTTCTTCCCACCCAAAAATTCCCTTTCAAGTGGCCCACATTTGTATGACTTCCTAAAGCTAATCTCTCATGGTAAATATCAATTCATGCTCATCATAAAACCAATTGAAGTTTCAAACTAGCCAAAGCTTTTAAATAGCATGCAGTGCATCTAACGAAAGTGACAGTGTCTACTGTCTTTATCATTTACACTTTACTACAGTATGAAGAACACAAAATACATGTGTTCACATAAAAAAAAACCCACTCACTTCCTCTCCAATTAAAATGTGTCAGTAATGTTTGAAGTCCAACACTATTTACCAGGAAGTAAATGTTTCTCAAAACCAGGTAAAGAATTAAGAAAATGTACAATCTCATTTTCATATTCTGATCCTAAAAAACAGCTCAATTTTAGTTCTTAGTGGTATACAGTGTGACACAGTGAAATAACTGTCCACAAAAATCTCATTCTACATATTTATTCATGTCCTAACCTCACATTAGGCACAAAAATAAGGCAGGATTGCCTTCAAAGTCTGAACTTGAAACGAGAAAACTATTTGTCACAGAACAGAAATCCATTTATGGGTGTGTTAATATCTAAAAAGTTTCTACTTCACAGATAGTTAGAAGCAACGTTCTATCTAAAATATTTCTATAGACTAATTAAACCCACCAGCAATGGTGGTGGCATGGTTTTGGGTGGTACCCACAGCTAATTACAATTCAGTATCCTCTCTGTATATGCAATCCTTGAAAAAAAAATATGTGCTTTATCTTATTTACATAAAACACTCACAAAGACTTCACAAAGGTCTGACATGTTTAATGTTTGTTTGCCTATTAAGATCGTAATTCCCCAGAAACTCACTGTTTGGAGAGTATGTGAAGTTGCATGGACAGTAGTTTTCTTCATGCAACAGACTATAAATGTCAAAACAGAGCTTAAACACTCACATTGGTGAGCTTGTTGAAACTATTTCTACTATTTATTATGTCAAATAAGAACAAACATATTTTTATTTGGGTCTGTGGAAGCTATCAGCGAATGCTTCCTCTATTATTCATTACATCATAAAGTGCTAAGCTGTATACAACATCTACAATGACAAACAGGTATAACAGGAAACGTTTTTCAATTTTGGACATTTACACTGGGGGTTTAGCCTTATCTCAAGATCAGTTAAATTGCCGTAAAAGTATGCTCAGGTAGTACGGATAAATCTTCCAGAATATGCACAGAGTGGAGGCTTGCCCCTACTACAGGGTGATGTTACAAGATGGTCTCACTGTAGACACACAAGGCCAAGGTGACATCATGGCAATAGAGGAACAATTCTGTCTGCATTAGAGCTCACAGGGCGAGTGCTGGGGCCTCAGGAAGAAGTTCCTTCTCAGTTCCTTTCTCAGTTGAAATGCACAGTGCTATTCATTGCAGAAGTTTACCAATCATAACTAGGAGAGACAGAGATGTGGTTCTTCATGCTTCAGTTCATAGGAGCCCAACACTTTATCACCGAAGAAAATAATTATCTTCTCTGAAAGTAAGTGAACCTTCCAAAAGCTTTTTTCTGAGCTTTAAGTGCTCTTGAAATTAAAAATGAAATTAAAACATTTATGTAATATAAGAGTAATCACAAATTGTAATAGCTTTTCACAATCATAGGCATTATGCATACATGCACATACATAATCACACAAATTCATACACACTCAGATGCATACACACATGAACACACATACATACATGTACACATATGTACACCACAATAACTAACATGTTAGTTAGCTGTCAGTTTAAATTTAAGTGGTGCAAAACTTTTACAACTCCATGCCCAACTTACACCAGGATATTTTTGTCTATTACCTGACATAGTCTCTGCTTAAGAATCTATTGTATGATTGATCACTTGTTGTCTTTAAGATTATCTCATGATAGTGTATATTTCTTTTAGATTCACTACAAATAAAGAAAATTATTTGTAGTGAATTGTAAGGCTATTTGCTTAACTTCTTTTAATTTACTCATGAAAATTTACCAAAATCAGTAATCATATGTAATGTAAACTACCAATCAAAAACAGAAGGTTATGAAGATACTAATTTAAGTTTATTGAATTCTTAGAGTTCCCAGAATTCAAAATTATTTTTACAGATATCAACAATTTTTAGCGGCTGGAGTGATAGCTCAGCAGATAAGAACATTGATTGATCTTTCAGAGAACCTGGGTTCAATTCCCAGCACCCACATGGGAGCTTACAACCATCTGTCGCTACAGTCCCAGGGATCTGATGCCCTTTTCTGGTTTCAGTAGGTCCCAGGAAGATACATGATACACAGAAATACATTCAGGCAAAACACCCATAAACAATGCAAAAAAAATAGTAATAACTTTTAAATAAACACAAATTTGATGAAAGCAAGGACTTTTTGAATATGAAAATGTATATCTTTATAAAACATAGCCCCTAACCATAGTCACTGATGGACCTAAAATATTTAGAATGATTACTGAAATTGAAAATCTTTGTGTTAAATTATACAAACAAGCAAAAGAGAAATGTGAATTAAGATTGGGAAACTTGGGGACAGAATCTTGTCCTTTGGTCTCTGGCTAACCATAACAACAGGTCCCCAACGCCTGGCTAACTTCAGATCTTTCCCAACCCCACTTATAGTTAATAATTTTTTTTAAATGTGGTCCAAAAGATTTAGTGAAACCACCATCAACAGAACTCCCTTATGCCTGTTTGTGTAAGGCAGAAACACACTAGCTGCAAACAGACTTTCAATATGTCTTGATTGTTTTTCTTTTATGCTCTGACATAGAAGTGACAGCTCAGGTAAAGCAATGTTTGCCATGTTCTTGGCACGTGTCACTGAGATGTAGATGGTTTTTTTCATCCATGATAGGGCTGAGTGAGTATGCTATCATGAGCTGAATCTGTGCTAAGATAAAGCCTGTATTTCTCCACAATTTTCAGAGGAAAATGTGATTACTTAAACAATAAGAATCCATAACTTTATATAAAAAACAAATCTTCAAACAATAATTGGCCTGCACAACAAATGCAAGCAAACATGTCTGTCACTTGTGGCAAGAATGGCTATCTTCATCACCCTCTCAAGGTCAGGCTGATTTAGCCTACATAGTACCTATAATAGGCCACCATGAATCCCAAATGTCATGGTCATTCAGACATTGATTGAGAACATATGGACTAGTAAACAGACCAGAATCTCACACACAAACAACTTCAGAGTCTCGTGTTACTACTTTGAGCCTTGTCTATAAGTCAATGATCCTCAAATGGCCATTTCATGGTGCAGGTAGCATTAAGTTTCTTGGACAAAGAGGTCAACTAAAGGCTTTGGGCCTCAACAGATATATTTATTCCAAACACAAGAGTCAAACTGCTAAACTCAAATGTGTGTTCTACTCAACCCCCTCACATTGTCTCAGTTTACCGCCTGTTGAAAAAAAAGTGAAAGTGGACAACCACGAAGCAGCCAACATAACAAAGTTCAGAAGCAGTATGTCCATGTACTCCTGAGCTAAACACTGAGGTCCAAATGTTCTGGTTAGGCTGTGTCTGATCAGCTGAGATGTTTCCGAACCCCCCATGATTTTCTTCCAGCGCTGCAGTGACTTACAGTCCAGCTTCACGGGATACTTGCTGGCCGTCCTTCTCCACAGCCGGTGACTCAGAGATAGAAGCAACCTTTAAGGAGTTCTTGATGGAGCTGAGCTCCCAGATGTGCAAGCTGATGATGTGCACCCCACAGCAACGACTGGCAAGCTTATACAGGTTCTTAAGGACAGCCTTCCGGAGCAAGATGTAGACCCAAGGGTCTAAGATCTGATTCCATGTTGCCATTCGAAGAGCAAAGAGTGTCGTTTCACAGGTCACTGGGGAGTTATTTCCATTAATCGCAATGTTGGCCATCGTTACCTGAAAAAACAAGCAAAATAGGGGAAGCTGTTGATCACTGACATTTCCACAGATTTTCAAGTTAACTACAAGTGCAGCACGACCTTTGTATCACATCCCACAAAGTGCAGCTTTTTTGCAAAATACTGGTAATATAAATGCATTCATAGAAATAGTCTAATTTACATATGTATATGTGTCAGATAAATACTAGAAACCATGGACATAGACCATAGATTATTTTAATTCAAATTCACAAGAAGACTGCAAAAATTATATTCTACTGTCTACAAACAGACTCAAGGGGAAATAAACATTGATATCAGTAACTAGCCTTATATTTCTAGGAATAAGAATGCTAAAGTCCAAGTGGATCAAAGACCTCAACATAAAACCCGACACATTAAATCGGTTAGAAGGAAAAGTGGGGAAGACCCTTGAACTCATTGGTACAGGAGACAACTTCCTGAACAGAACGCCAACAGCACAGGCTCTAAGAGCAATAGTCAATAAATAGGACCTCATGAAACTGAAAAGCTTCTGTAAAGCAAAGGACACCATCATCAAAACAAAACTACTGCCTACAGATTGGGAAAGAATCTTCACCAACCCTCTATCTGACAGAGGACTCATATCCAGTAAATATAAAGAACTAAAGAAGCTGAAAAGCAGCAAACCAAGTAATCCACTTAAAAAATGGGGAACAGAGCTAAACAGAGAACTCTCTGTAGAGGAATATGAATGACAGAGAAACACTTAAAGAAATGTTCAACATCATTTGCATTAAGGAAATACAAATCAAAACGACCCTGAGATTTTACTTTACACCCATCAGAATGGCCAAGATGAAAAACTCAAGTGACAATACATGCTGGAGAGGTTGTGGAGAAAGGGGAAGCCTCCTCCATTGCTGGTGGGAATGTAAACTTGTACAACCACTCTGGAAATCAATTTGGCGCTTTCTCAGACAACCAGGAATTGCGCTTCCTCAAGATCCAGCCATACCCCTCCTAAGCATATATCCAAAAGAGGCTCAAGTACACAAAAAGGACATTTGCTCAACCATGTTTGTAGCAGCTTTATTTGTAATAGCCAGAAGCTGGAAACAGCCCAGATGCCCCTCAACTGAAGAATGGATGCAGAAATTGTGGTACATCTACATAATGAAGTATTACTCAGCAATGAAAAATAAGGAAATCATGAAATTTGCAGGTAAATGGTAGGACCTGGAAAGGATCATCCTGAGTGAGCTGTCCCAGAAGTAGTATATACACACGGTATATACTCACTCATATAGACATATAATATAGGATAAACCTACTTAAACCTGTACATCTAAAGAAACTAATCAAGAGAGAGGACCCTGACTAAAATGCTCAATCCCCATCCTGAAAGGCAAAGAGGATGGATACCAGAAGAAGAAAACAGGAAACAACTTAGGAACCTGGCACAGAGGGCCTCTGAAAGGTTCTGCCCTGCAGACTATCAAAGCAGACACTGAGACTTATGGCCAACTGTTGGGCAGAGTGCATGGAATCTTATGTAAGAAGTGGAAAATAGTAGGATATGGAGAGGACAGGAACTCCACAAGGAGAGCAACAGAACCAGAAAATTTGAACACAGGGGTCTTCCCAGAGACTCATACTCTAACCAAGTACCATGCATGGAGATAACCTAGAACCCCTGCACAGATGTAGCCCATGGCAGTTTAGTGTCCAAGTGGGTTCCATAATAATGGGAAGAGGGACTGCCTCTGACATAATCTGATTGGCCTGCTCTTTGATCATCTCCCATTGAGGGAGGAGCAGCCTTACCAGGCCACAGAAGATGACAATGCAGCCACTCCTGATGTGATCTGATAGACTAAGATCAGAAGAAAGGAGAGGAGGACCTCCCCTATCAGTGGACTTGGGGAGGGGCATGTATGAAGAAGGGAGAAGGAGGGTGGGACTGGAAGGGGAGGAGGGAGGAGCCTATGGGGGGATACCAAGTGAATAAAGTGTAATTAATAAAAGTTAAAAAAAGAATGTTAAAGCAAATACTACATGTTTCTTTATTCAATAGAAAATGAAAGTATATCTAAACAAAAATCCATGAGATTATAAGTACTTTTAAACAATAAACTTTTCTGGACACTGTAATACAAGCATGATAAAGATGGGAGCAAAAGGATCATAAATTCCTGCCCTAGTTATGAAACGACTGGGGCCAAGACTTGATTGGCAACACACATGAGATCACAATTTGTCTTCACTCATCAAATACCCATTCACCTCCTCTCGGGAAGGCAATGTGCTAGGCACAGGGGGAACAAATCAGACAGTGAAACCTTTCATCTGTCTGTGAGAATTTTATTACATTAGTTTTGGTTTGGGGTTGAATGAGTAGATGTTTATTTTGCTTTACAAGTAAATAAAAAAAGTGCATACTTTCTATTAGTGAATAAGTTGTACCCCTGGAATCTCTTAGCTCAGCCAGACACTGCCCTGTAAATCCTGGAACGAGTGTGCTCCGCACAATGCAAAGTGCCTCAGTTGCATGGCCGTCCTTCTCGGATGCTCCTCTCTCCTGGACCATAGTTTGATCACCCAGTGGCTGTGAACTGATATTTAATTATCTGCTGAAGGAGCCCCGGTCCTAGCTTCTCTCTAGAACACAAAGCCAGTGCTCAGCCATTCACAACACTCCCCTTTCCCTGTTAGCTTGAAGCAGTTGCTTCAGGGCCCAGATCATTCAGTAGTTAGCAATAAAAAAAAAAATAGGTAGAATAGTTTTGTAAATGAAAACACCAATTGGGATGTTATTGATATTAGTACATTACTGATAGTTTAGCATTAAACTAATCATGATGTACAACAAAGGATAAGCTGTGGTCATTTCATAGAATAGAACTACACATGGGAACTGGCCTTGGGATTTAGTGTTAGCTTAAAGAAAGCAAGTCACTGCATGATATTCTCTGTGTTCTCAATTCCCAGAAAAAATGTTATTTTGTGCATGTTACTGTTACATTTATTGTGAATGACAATAAAATGATAGAGGTGTTAGTCAGTGTTTCACTGGTTGACTCTAATAGGATTCTGATTTATTTCCCTTTGGTTTTTGTGAAATTTACTAATTGTGTGTGTGTGTGTGTGTGTGTGTGTGTGTGTGTGTGTGTGTGTGTGAGATTACACGGTATTTTAGTAACAGCACCGCCTGCTGCAGAACACTATGGACAGGTGCTCATCGAGCAGTCTAGCAACAGAGCTAGGGGAAGCTGCGCCGTGTTTTCTAAAACGCCTTTCTCGGATATTGCAGTGGTGGGGTTGCTGTGTGGTGTGTGTACAAATGCACACACTTTGGGGTACACGTGTATTGCCGAAAGGTGGCACTGGGTGTCTACTAAGATTGCTCAGTATATAAGATGTCATATATTGAGCTCACCAAGTCAGCTAGTCAAAGTGGCCAAAGTAGCTCTGGGATCCGCCTGTCTTTGCCTCTCAAATGCTGGGGTCACAGGGGGGCCACCATGCTACTTGGCATTTACCTGGGTTTTAGGGTCCTAAACTCCAGTCCCCACATTTGTGCAAAAAGCACTTTGTCCAGTAAGATGTCATCCCTTTTTAGTGATTAGAATTTTTGGTAAAAAGTAAATGTACAAAATGTTTGGATGGCCAGACGTGGTAGCGCACACCTGTAATCCCAGCACTCAAGAAGGCAGAGGCAGGCGGATCTCTGTGAGTTAGAGGCCAGCCTGGTCTACAGAGTCCAGAACAGCCAAACCTACACAGAGAATCCTGTCCTGAAAAAAACAAAACAAAATGTTTGGATGATCTATGAAAATAATCCACTACTTACACTTAAAATTTCTCAGATGCTCACCACAGTGTCAAATAAATATATGAGGCGACTTCACAGCCATGCCCAGGTTTAAAAGAGAAAAATAAATGACATAATTGTTTTTGTTCTATTCAGGTTATAAGAATAAAATTTTGTAAACTAATAAGGTCATTTTAGTAATGAATCTGCAACTTTAATTATCAACAAGAGTCCATGTTAGCTAATTTTTTACTATGGAAACTATTAAAGCGATATACGCTTGTGTGTGCATGGATTGACCTGAGTGAGGGCTCCAGTGGCCACTTACAGGTAAAAGCAGTGGTAAGCCAGACATGATGACACATAATCCCAGCACGTGAAAGGCTGGATAGAGGATCTGAAGTTTCAGAGCTGCGCTGGCTACATCGTAAGCAAGCCTGAGCTGTGTGGCAAAATCCTATCTCAGGAACAGAAGAGAAAAACAAACACTGAGGGCAAATTCAAGAAGGGTGTTTATGCTTCTGTCTCTTTGATCTTTCAAGAAACACTAATCTAGCAGTGAGCGGATCTCACTGCCAACCGTCCAGGCATTGTGCAAGATGACATTGACACTGAAGCAAAGCTTTAGGGAAATTCTGTCTAACAAATGATTAATTTACCTTCCTTGTCTAGCAAATCATCACACTAAAATATTGTCATCTCGAAAGTGCATGGGTTTCATCTGACTAATTCTTGTTCCAATATCTGACTAAAAGTAGGGAAAACGGTTTTTGTTGGGTGAGTCAGGATGATGATGTCACCAAGTGCAGGACCAACATGATGCAGTTCTACTGCTGCATGCAGCACAGTGAGGGCATGCAAGTTGCTGCAAAGAGGACTATTGATGAGCATCATGAAAATGTGTATGTCTTTATGATTTTGTACTGCGCTAGCACTACAGTTGTTCAGGCGTTATTTTAAAGGGCTGCGGGTGTAGCTCGGTGGTTGAACACTTGCAGAGCAAGCATGAGATCTTTGGTTTGACTCCAGCACCATGACAACAAAATACCCTTCTTGTTTGAGCAGTTTTGAACTTAGCATCATTCAGATGTAGAAGCAATTTTACACTGGCACATTTTAAAGTGATTTAAACGAATCCGTAATCAAAACATTTCCTGGAGGGATGGCCTATTCTTAGATACCAAAAGCCTTTGTGTAATAGTCATAAGATCTCTTTCCAT